GTGTTGGACTGTGGCGCGTGCACTGTGGACGCCGTGTGCTTCCCTGCGAGGACGAGCAGCATCAGCGGCTGTGAGTGCGTGTGTGCTGCTGGCGGCTACGGTGACACGTGTCTGCCAGCTGCTGTTCCGGACGGCCTTGGACCGTTACCGCTCCCCGATGCGAGGGACACGGAGGTCCGCTGCGTGCACGGTGGCAGCATCAGCTCCGTGGACTATCCTGATCCCGGTGTGCGTGGTCTGTGCTTCGTCAACGTGACCTTTACCGCCGCGATTGTGCTGGACCTGTCGTATTTTGACGCGCCACAGCAGACACTCAACATCACGCTGTTACATTGCGTCCTCGTGGGCCTATCGATCAAGGGGAGTGGTGCGCGCGTGCACGTGAGCGTGGTCTCCTCGATGATGGATTCCGGAGTGTTGGTGTTTCAGGGTGATTTTGGCGTGAGCTCCCAAATACTGGTGGTTGGCAGTACGATTGTGACGATGTCGGGCCATGCCATTTTATTTGTGAAGTTTACTCTCAGTGCGAATATGACGCTGCTGCTGCTCGACAACTACATCGAGGGGAGCTGGTACGCAATTTATTTCTCCGCTGCTGTTGTTGTTGATGGTGGCGGGATTATTTTGAAAGGAAATACGCTGAGCGCAACGAAGGATGATGACGGTGTGGAATCATCTGTTTACGTTTACGCTGTTGATGTGAGGAACGGCGGCTTCATTGACGTGGAGAACAACACGATGAGCGCGGTCAATGGCGTTATTCTTTTTGGGGATAACACCGTGAGCTCCGCGGGGCTGCTGCGAGTGGCGGACTGCACCTTCGTTGGCGGGACGGAAACTTTTGATCCCGCGCTGTTGCATTTGTCTGGCTCGGTGACCCTCGAGGGAGGTGCGCAGTGGCGTGTGGAGGGCAACAGCGTGGGTGCAGCCTCAGTATTATCTATTCTGTATCCCCAGTACAAAATTCAGCTGTCGGGCAGCGGCACCACCGTGGTGCTTTCACACAACCGTCAGGTGGGCGGAAACACTGTCTTTGCCATGCTTCTTCCATGGAGCACTATCTTGACGTCACCCGCGCGGTTTGTGGTTGGATGCAACCTGCAGGACGATGAGGAGGTGTCGTACGACGGCGTGTTTCCGGAGGACGTGGTGCTTTTCAGGTGTGGCACGTGCAACGACGACGCGGCGTGCTACATGCCCGGGACGGAGTCGGTGGACCGCGGCTCGTGCTCGTGCAGCTGCAAGGACGGATGGCATGGCGCGTCGTGTCTTCCCCTCGAGGTGCCCGACACGGTTGTGCCGCCCGTAGCGGAGAGAGCCGTGGACGGCGACACGAGCTGCGTGGTGAACCAGACGCTGACGGACCTCACGATTAACATGTGGAAGACGCACCACTGCTACGTGGGTGTGACATTCAGCGGCGTGGGTGCCGTGTTGACGTTCTTCTTCAACAGTATGCCGCTGCATCTTCCCATCAACATCACGCTCACCGGGTGCACATTCCTTGACGGAGCCGCGCTGCAGTTTGTTGGGGGTGCTGGGGCGACCGAGTCATCCGGCATCCTGATCCGCGTGAGCCAGACGGTATTGCGGTCCTCCGCCGTTGCTTTTTTACGTGCTCTTCCGCTGCACTGCGACATCGCCGTCACGGAGGTTGATGCGGTGCAATCCTTCGAGTTTGAATTATCGGGTACTGTGAACAACATGTGGAGCGTGTTTTTGCTGGGAAACGTTGTGTTGAGAGCGTCGACGCTGTTGGTCAGCAACGTCAAGGCGTATGCAACTAGGCGTGATGCACTTGGCTTTTCCTCGATCGGGACGCTGACGCTGGTGGGTGGCAGCTCGCTGTACTTGCGGTACTGCAGCTTTGAGGGCTACAAATACCTGTTCTACGTGCACAGTCTCAGTGTGAGTGACAACTCCGTTTTTGCGCTGCTCAACAATACGATGTTATTCGGAGTAAGCCTGCTGTATCAGCACCAAGGATTCAGCGTGTCGGATCACAGCGTGTTGCGCGTGGTGGGGAACAGCGGCTCAGCTCGCTACGCCATCTGTAACGATGAATTGTGGAATGTTCAGCGGTCAAGCTGGCTGGATTGGCGCGACAACGACGTGGAAGTGGGTGCGATGTTCTACGACACTGAGTCCGCATTTGTGAGCATTGACGACAGCAGTGCGGTAACGTTGACGGGCTGCAAGATGGGCTCGACGGGGTTGTCGGTATCCTTGCTGAAGCGGGCTGACGCCGGCTACCGGTTCGTTGCTGGGTGTCTGACGGTCGCGGGACGGAAGGTGACGACGGCGGCAGAACTGGCGCTCCACGGCATCACCAACGTGACGACGGTTGCGGTGTGCGGTGAGTGCACGAAGGACGGCGACTGCTTCGCTCCGCTGACGACGGAGGTCGTTGACTGCAAGTGCCAGTGCGCTGCTGGAGGGCACGGCGATGTGTGTGCCCCTGCGCCTGTGCCTGCTGGCCCGCCACCGCCGTCGCCGCCACTGCCGCCCACACCGCCGCCACCGCTGGTTGGTGAGTGCATCAGCGACATGGTGTACCCCGAGGTTGCGCAGTCTGTGGGCGACGGGCTGTCGTGGCTGTGCTACCGCAACGTGACGTTCAGCGGGGGCGGCATGAGCCTGACGGTGCTGGTTGGGGCGATGACGGGCGACGTGGTGAAAATAACGTTCGATGGATGCACGTGGAGGGACGGCGCCGTGCTGTTGCTGTTGGGCAACGCGCACGCCACTGTGGGGTCGCTGCACATCGTCGTCACTGGCAGCACCTTTAGTGACGCGCTGCTCAGTCCGGAGGGTGGGTTTCCACCGCACACGAACATTACGATCAGCGGGAACCGCTTTACTGTCACGAGGCTGATTCCTCGGTCGGGATTGGACATATGGATCCCGTCGTGCGTTGCGATGAATGGAATGGTGATCGCCAATGACTCCGCGGTGGTGCTCAGTGGCAATGTGTTTCAGACCGTGACGGCATCGTCAATCGCAATTTACGTTGTCAGATCTGCGCTGAGGGTGTCTTGGCACTCCGTGTTTGCGGTGGTGGGCAACACGCTTCATATGGACGGCGGTGGCAGTACGCTGATAAATATTGAGGGTTTTAGCCAGTCCTTGTCGCTGAGTGTACTGAACAACTCTGCCGTGGTGGTCCGGGGCAATCTTGTGACGAGACCCGTGAGGTACTTTTTATTACTAATTTTGGCATTACGTGTGGAGTCTCGGTCAGCGGTTGTGTTTCAGGGCAACGAGATGCAGAGAAGCTCGGTTGTTTTTTTTTCAAGCCACTCTTCATACATCTACTACAACTCCTGGCTGCAGTTGAGCGGCAACCTCTGCCGTGAATCCCCATCGGAAGCGTTTGCTTCCCTTTATCCCAAAGTGAATCTCCGCGACTCCACGGTGTTTGTTTCCGGCAACCGATTCATGTCCAGCACGGGCACGCCGACAGTTGTGCGGATATCCACAGGGTCCCGCGATATCACAAACGGAGCGATTGTGGCTGCGTGCAACAGTGTGAACGGCGAGGAGAGAGTGAAATACAGCATCCCGTCCGTGTACAATGCCAATATCCTGAGCTGCAGCGACCCATGCATCCTTGCGGCGTCGTGCTTCCCCGCGTACACGACGACGGCCTCGAGTGATGGCTGCGCCTGCAATTGCGCTGAGGGCGGTCACGGCGATGCGTGCCTGCCCGTTGCTGTCCCCGAGCCGCCGAGCACTGACGGCGCCGACTTGTGCGTGCGTGACGTGCGTGTGGATGTGGAGGTGAACGCCGGTCTCGGGACGTCGGTAGCGTGCTACGTTGGTGTGACCTTTGCGGCGGATGTCGTGGTGGACGTGGAGTCGATGTCAGGGAGCGTGCGCAACGTGACGCTGGCGAACTGCACGTTTTTGGGCGGAGCGAGCCTGTACGTTGTTGGGTGGCGTTCCGACCCGCCTGCTGGACAGCGCGCCGATGTGTTGATCAGCGGGCTTGAGTCGCGCTCTGGCGGCGGCGTGGTGGTGGCGAACCTATTTCCGCCGGGCTCGCGCGTCACTGTGGTGGACTCGGTGCTGATCGCGGAGAAGCGTGTTGCGTATCGCGACGCTTACGGCCTTGGCGACGCGTCCGCGTGCCTCGTGGTGCACAGCGTGAATCTGACTGGGAGCGTGCTGACCATTGCGCGCACGCATGTGGCGGCGGTGTTCCGCGACGCTGTTGGCGTGTTGGTGGTTGGCAGCGTGGCGCTGTCGTCGCGCGGAGCGCTGTACGTGGACGGGCTGTCGGTGCAGACGGCGCTGGGGCTGTGCGTGTCTGTGGAGGGCGGTGTTGCGGCCAGCGGTGGCTCCGTGGTGGCGTTTGTTGACAGCGATTTCCTGCTGTGCAAGCACGCGGTGTCTGTGCGCGGGGCTGTGAGCGTGTCGGGCTCCGCAGTGGCGCTTGTGCGGGGCGAATTCTTGTCGACGGAGGACCACGCGGTGACGTTTTATTCGACGGTGAGGCTGGATGGTGGGTCGATGCTGCTGGCGAAGGGCAACGTGCACGACGGCGTCTCGAGGGAGATGCTCTACGCGGCTGACACCGTGACCGCTGCTGGGAGCACGCTGAGCTTTGTGCGCAACCGAGCGCTGCTGCCGCGGATGCTGTCGGCGAGCCTGTCGCTCTCGGCTGGGGCGCATTTGAGGGTGGCGTGCAACGACGCTGGTGGGCGTGTCCTGTCGACGGCGGAGGAGTACGCAGCGGCTGGTTTTGGCGACGCTGGGAGCATCGACGTTGCTGGATGCGACGCCTGCGACAGGGTCACGCACTGCTACGCGCCCGGGACGGCGTCTGCGAGCATGATGAACGGTGTTTGCGTGTGCGATTGCGGCAGCGGCGGGTACGGCGAGGCGTGCGTGCCTGTGGGTGCTCCCGTGCTGCCGCCCGCTGTGGGCACCGCGTCGAGTGTGTTTGTCCGCGAGGGCGTGACGGTGCAGTCGGTGTTCGTTGTGCCTGCCGGCGCGAGCGAGGTGACGCTGCGCCATGTTGTGCTGGACGGCGTGAGTCCGGTGCTCTACGTACCGTGGATGGCGCGGGACGGCGTGCGGATCGTTGTGCAGAAAGTATCGCTGCTGAACGGCGCCGTGCTGTGCGTGATGGGCGGTGGAGCGTTGCGCGGTGCGGGGGCGGCGGGGAGCGACGAGGGCGGGCCGGTGGAGCTGTCCGTGTGCGATGTGGAGGCGCTGAACGGTGCGCTTGTGCTGACCGGCACGTTTCCTGCGGGGTCTGTGCTGACGGTGGCGGACTCCCTGCTGGTTGCCGCGAGGCCGACGCCGCTTGTGTATCTTCCCGGCTCGCAGTCCTCGCCGTACGCACCGGTGCTGGTGCTGTCGGGCCTGCGGCTCGTGCGGTCCGTGCTGGTTGTGTCCGGCGTTGCCCTCGTGACCGTGGTGACTGGTGGGCGGACGGTGGTGGTGGACGGTGCCGGACTGGAGCTTGTCGGTGGCGGCGTTGCGCTGGACGCGGCTGTGCTCGGTGGCGAATATGCGTTGTACGCGAGTGCGCGCGTGGTTGCCTCGGGGGGCGCTGTGCTGCGCGTGTCGGGGAGCCAGGTGTACGCCGCGCATGGGTTGGTGTTTGGCAGCGGGGTGGAGGCCAACGCGTCTGCCGTCGTAGTGAATGACAACGCCGGTGTGCTGACCGATGGCGCGCTGCTGGAGCTGCGGGGGTCGGCGTCGTTCGTGTCCGGGTCGTGGCTTTCGGTGCGCGGCAACAGCATCAGTGGCAGGCTCCTGTCGCTGCCGTCGTACCCGCGCAGTGCGGACCTCGTGCAGAGCACGCTGACGCTCCACGGGAACGCCGGCAGTGGGCCCGTCGTGATGGACGGCACCGTTGCGCTTGGGGGTGCCGGCCGAAATTTCGTCGTAGGGTGCCTGACGCTCAACGGGCAGGCGCTGCAGCCGATGGACTACAGGTCTGCCGGCATCATCGGGGAATTTCGTCCCGTGGCGTGTGGCGTGTGCGATGCCGACGTGCGCTGCTTTGCAGTTGCGACGAGGGCGATGTCTGCGTCGTGCGGCTGCCGCTGTGCTGAGGGCGGGTACGGGCGCGACTGCCTGCCAGTGTACCTGCCGCACGTGGACGGGTGCAACCGCACGCCCGGCATGCCGCTGCTGAGCCACACGGCGACGCTGACGGAGACGCGCAGCCCGACACCGACATGGACGCTGGGCCTGAGCACGACGCACTACAGTCCGACGCCGTACGGGCCGACGGAGGCGCTGCAGGTGACGGAGACGATGGCGCTGCCGCCCACGCGGACCCCCACAGCGTCGGTGAGCGGCACGCTGTGGTGGAGCGACGTGGCGTGCCCGACGCTTGCCGTGACGACGACGGCGGCTGGTGGGAGCCTGACGCAGAACGACATTCGCGGCGGTGGGAGCGTCGTCCCGACGCGGCTGATGGTGGCGCTGCCGCCGCCGTTTCGATGGGCAAGCGACCCGCAGCTCGGCACGCACCTGAGCTTCGTGCCGGTGTCGACGGCACAGCCGCGCGGGTTTGGCGGTCCGTGGGGAGCGATGCTGAGCAACGCGACGTGGATGCGCAACGCGACGAATCCGTCCACCGTCCTGGAGCTGGCTGTGCCCATGCACCGCGGTTACTTCATTGATGCCGACGAGACGATAGTCATTCGGTGCGACGCTGTGGCGGTGTTTGGCGGCTGCAAGGGTGTGCTGCTTGGGTCCTTCACGATCAGGTCGAACACGCTGCCCGCTGCTGCCAACGCCCTCTCGGCGATCACCGGCGTTGTTGCGGGTGCGGCGGCTGTTGCCGTGGTGGTGACCGGCGGGCTCGGCTCCGTCCTGGAGATGCAGGCGCTCGGCGTGTTTGCGAGGATGCCATGCGCCTCGGCGCAGGAGCGTGCGAGCACCGTTGCGCTGCCGTACTTCCTGTCAGTGTTCGCTGCCCTTAACCCGCTGTGGATGGTGGTGGGCAACGCGCTGCTGGCCGCAGTGTTCGGGTGCGTGCACTGCGGTGTGACGGCCGCCTTCCAGCGGTGGCGCGGCGTGGACGCGGCGAGTGCGTGGGCGGCGATGCGCTTCCCGAGCCTGACGTACGTCGTGGCGCACGCGATGCACCTTGGTATTTTCTTCGGCTCCGTGCTCGCACTGGCGATGCCCGGCGCCCGCGGGCATCACCGCGTGGTTGGTGTCGTTGGCGTGCTGTACGGTGTGGCGTTTCCTGCTGGCGTGTGCTACTTGATTGCCCGCCACGTGGGAGCGAGCTTCACGAGGTACTGGCAGTTTTCGAGGAAGCCGCTGCACGAGCGCCTGCTGTACCCCGTCGGGTATTGGCACCCCGCGGCGCAGCAGCGGATGTACGGCGGACTGCTGACGAACATGAGGGGCAGCCACGTGTGCTGGTGCGTGTTCCAGCTGTCGGTGCTGTGTGTGGTGGGCCTGATTGCGGCTGTGCACCCGCCCGTGGGAGGCTGCCACGTCCAGTACTTCTGCATGGCGGCTGTGCTGGTTGCGGGTGCGGGCGTGGTTGCCTTCACGAACATGATGCGCTCGTCCTTCCTGACGGTGATGCACACGGCGAGCTTTCTGCTGCTTACGGCGCAGTGCGTGGTGAGCGCGGCCAACCATCTTGCGCCGAGCGACGGCAAAGCGAGGGCGTACGCGGCTATCGTGCTGCTGCTGACGACTGTGCTGCTTGCGGTCACTGTGTACAGCGTCGTTGTGTGGTACGCGGAGGACCGCCACTGGCAGGAGCTGCGCGAGCCGCGGCGTGGTGGGCTGGAGGCGCTGCTGCGAGATGACGAGGAGAGCGACGAGGACGCGCAGAAGCCGCACGAAATGACGTCATCATCTTACGCCTCAGGCACCACCGGCGCGTCGTCGTACCGGCCACCCGCACCGCCGTTGCAGCCCATGGCTGGTGACACCCGCTCAGACGCGCTGAGCCCGCTGGACCGTGCATCCAGTGCGAGCCGTATGATCGATTACGCTGCCATGTGACGTGTAACACGCGGAATTAGTAAGCATGCGATGTTTGTTGAGAGTCCACGGCTGTGCTGCGCCCCACAGCCAGCCATCGTTAACAGCACCGATAGTGTTGTTGATTGTTGTTACTATCGATTTGTTTCTTTTTTGAGCGGGTGCTTCCAGGAGTTTTTCCCGTTCCACGCTGATTGTGTGGAAGGGGATTGAGTTGTCGCTCTTGTTACTCCTGATGTCATTTTGTACCGGACTGTAATTTCATGGAGTTGCGTGCGAGGAACTCAACGCTCATTTTGTGCAATGGAGGAAGGATACGGTGAACCGCCTAGCGGAATTAATGAATTGCAGCTCTGCCTTATCGTGGGTTTACATGCAGGGGGCATAAACTTTTGCAGGAGCAAAGCGGCGACAGAGTAGGAGCAGGGCTCCAGGCATCCAGGAACGCCTTCGAGCGGGATTATGTATTGAGGCGCGACGTATTGCTGTGATTTCGGGCTGCCCTGGCGTGGCGAGTGCACGGGGTGATCGATGTCTTATTAGCGGTGAAAGTGACGGACCAAGCCCTCCCAGTCACGTTCCACACTTGTCCTCGAGCGCACCGCCGCCAAGGCCGGATCCCTCATGTGTGCACGTGGAACGTGGGAGCCTTGGATGACGCGGCATTGGGATTTGTTGCCCGCTACAGCCCGCACGTTTTGTGTGTGCAGGAGGTGTGGCGGCCACTTCCGGCTATTAGTACATCCCTTCACGGCGCGGCCTTTGATTTATTTGGCACACCGCATTCCACAGGCAAGGGATATGGTCGTGGATTGGCCACGCTGGTACGAGGAAGCCTCCACGAGGAATTCCTTCTTTTCCCAATTTCTTCCGGTCGTGCGTAATTCATGCACCACAGCAGACACAGAGGGATGTGGCGTTAGCATGGGGAGTACGATATTTACCGGGACTTTTTCCACGGCAGCGTGCGCCCATGCACCTACTCGTCGAACCGTGGAGGCACGCGAACACATGTCGACGGTTCTGGATCACCTGGTGACTCACATCGTGGACGTACCATTTTTTATTGCCCGCAGCGCCGAGGAGCGCGCACACGGATGCAGCTTGTCCTTGGCCACTGCGAGGTGTCCCGGAGCGAAGCTTGTGATACGAAATCCGAGAAGGCGTCTGATCTCTCGCAGCTCACAGACACATGGACCACCGGCGTCGTCGCATTGGCCGAACGTATTAATCGTGCCCGACAGCTCAAGCCAGAGGCTCGCCGCTCCGCCGTAAGAGGCGACTGGGAACTGACGCGCACGGACGCCACCCTCACTCGTGGGGTAGAGGCCGCACTGGACCGCCTCCGCAGCGGAGTTTCCCACACAATACGGATGGCTGCTACGACCACTGCAACTCGCCATCCCACGCACATGCTGTTGGCGCGGCGCGGATGCCGCACAGCAGGCACGCAAAGGACTTAGTACGGAAACGCCTCCTCCTCCCGCTGGACCCACCCCACCACGATCCGACGGCCGGCAGACTGCCCGGTGTGCGGCAAGCACTGCAGCTGCTTCATTAGTGTCGTGACGCACATGGCTGACGCCCAGGGCATGACGCGCCCCAAGGAGCTGCGGGAATTCAACTTTCCCGGTGAGTCGGAACCGCCAGAAATCCCACCGGAACCAACACCCGCCACTTGAGCGGGGACGAGAGCGAGAGACGGCACGCCGATCGCACCTCCGCTGCAGACCGCACGGCCCAGGCCGAAGCCACTCTCATGCAGTTTCCGCACGGCGTCGTAGGACAAGCAATCCGAAACCGTAATTCATCTTCGGCACTTCCACAAGCAAGAGTTCCCCCGACAAATAGGGGGCGCTGCCAGGAATATAACGCTCTGACGGCATGCACCGCGCTCGAATGCATTTACTGTGCGAATTGAGGGCTCAAGCAAAAGCGGGACCACTGTCCCGCATACGAGCACACGAACGCTCCAGAACAGAGCCACAGTCGGCACCGAAGAGGGAAGCACTTTGTAAACGCTTTTAATGTGACGGGCAGGCGGGCAATGCCGGGGGTTGACCACTCACACACGGCACAAACACCCGAAAGCAAGAAATTCGTGACACTAAAAATGGGGATTAAATAACCACGCTCTGCAAGGCTTGAACCTCCGCATGAAGAACATCCAACCTACACAAAAACCCCGTCTCTGCACAGGAGAATGCCACCGAGAAAGAGTGCAGCATGCGCCTAAAATGGCACGCACACATGCGTTGATGGACGTCACGCTGTCGCCGATGTCACGAAGGCAGAGGGCTCAGGCCGCCGAGAAGGCGCACGTTGCCCGGTGACGACATCCCGATGGGATCCCCACCAGTTTGGTTTTGCCGTTTAGCGTGCGGGTGTCAGTGCCACAGCAGTGACTGACTGACCCACTACCGCACGGCACGCCACGGGCATCGACCGGACGTTGTGAAAACCGGCCGACCGGAACTGTGCGGAGAGGCAGGTCAGCATTTACTCCGCTGCTCGGCTCTGCAGGCACCCAGAAAAAAGCATGGAGTGGACATTGGAGAGGTGAGGAAGCCGCGCTTCACAGAAATATTGGTGTGCTTCCATTTTGAGGCGGAAGGTCTCTGCCCCAGCAGTATCTCCGCGCGGCGGGAAGACACGAGGCCCCTTGCAGATGCGGCAGGTCGTATTTGCTCCTGGCAGGCTGCCCTCTTCTCCCTTTTCTCATTTATAGCGTCCATTTTTGGTTGGTTCTGTGATATGTTGTTTTATTGATTCTTGGCGACAACGGATTATCGAGCCACCGCGCTATCCCCGGGGCGGGTGCGTAGCGGTGGTGTGTGCTTTACGGCCTCCGCTGCGGCTCCCCCTTCGGGTGCCGGGCTCTCTTTCACATCTCCGATCGTTGGGCGGACGTGCTCTGCGATGGTGGCTGGCGTGTGGGCCTTCGTATTTATTTGAGAAGACACGAGGGATAGTAGCAATATATATATCAACAGCGCTGAATAGATATTAATACCGATATTTACATGTCTATCTACATACATACGCAGCTTATAAAATAGCAATTCAATAAACCAAGAAACCAAGAAATCTGTCAAATTTTAGGGGAGCGAAGGGATATATCCATATCTATACAGATGCATCAATGAATATGAATAAAGTATCGTTTTGATACTCATGCCCATATCGATATATCTACACATTGATCAATGCTTATTTTCTTATTTATACCCCTCCATATAATGTTTTCACCGTTCCTTCTTATTTGTGGCATTTTGCTTCCGCTATATTACGTATTCTTCTCCCGTGAGTTTATTCTTGCTTTTTTAGAGAGAATAGGCGTTCCGTCCCACAGACAAGGTTTCATATGCACTGAAGCATCCCATCGGACAAAAGTCGCAAGGGGTTTGCGAGACCCATCCCAATTGACTGATGGTTGCTATCTTCTTTGATCTTCTGAGGAGCTGCGACGTGTGAGTGCGTTGCCTCTGACGCTCAACACAATGGCAACTTTCAACGAGCAGTTTGCAGGTTCATTGTGCAGTTTTCTTGAGGTGTAGTCCACATCCGTATTTTGGGAGTGAATGCACGGCGTACCTGTGTAGGACGCTGAGGGCGGCGTCAGCGAGGCATGGGATAACATGTACTCCGGAACAAGTGTCTGGCGTTGGCCAGAGGAGGTCTTGTGTCAACGGCATCACTGATTGATGGCCATTGATTTTGGGCTTTGATCTTCGGTGCTTTAAGGACTGGAACGGCGCCGGCTGAACAGGTGCCACTCGTCATCTGATCTCTCCTGGATGTGGTTTAAAAGACGATGCGGGCGCATGCAGAGGTGGGAAAGGAAGTTGGACATTATGTGGACATGCACGTGGACTTGTCAGATGGTCACAATATCCCTCAACAAGTGTGGAGCCCCCGACTTGATGATTCGACCGTCCTGATAAAACTGCCTGGGGTGGAGGTGAGTGCGCTGACTTCCGTTTCACCTAATTTTTCTTCATCTGACAGGCTGCGCGGCTGACGTGGAGGGACACCATGCGCACCTGTTTCCGGCGGGTGCGATGCCGTTTCCCACATATGAGGACGATTTCCCTGATGATGCACTCTGTCATCCTCACTTTTTTTATTTGACGACACGGCGCAACGCGGGGTTGGTGCTGAGCGACGAAAGCCTTTTG